GCAGTTTCCGCCAGGGCGTCGGCATTTCGACCGAAAAGGATGAGGGCTTGGGGACCCGATGCAGCAAATGATGAGGCAGTGGCCCGGCCGATTCCGCCAGATGCGCCGGTGATCAGCACAACCTTGCCCGCAGTGGAGAGGCCGGGCTGAGTTGGGTCGATGCCAGCATAGGTATTGGAGTGAGTGACCTTGGTGTATGAAGGCGGTCCCGTTGCCATTGTGTCAATCACTTCAATGTGAAATTGTAGAGGTAAGCACGCAAGATGGCGTAAACACTGTGAAAGCAGGGCTGGGGGCGAGTATTCCGGGGTCAAAATATGGGGAGGAGTGTTGCGGCCAGGAGAGAAGGGAAGGCCAGTATTAAAGTACTTCATTCTCAACAAAATCCATTATGTCACTGACTATACGACCACGAGTAGCTAAGCTACTACCCGGAACCTCCAGGCTACATTGCACAGAGTAAGTGGAGCCCGATAGTAAACATGCTAAACAGGGATCTCGACCAGTCTCCGCATTAGCATGTTGGGAAAAAAACGAGATGAGGGTCTTTTTTCAGGTTCACTGGAGGCTTTGCCAGTCTACTGGCTCGCTGAGTAAGGTCAGATGTGAGCGTTGATGACTCGATGTATCTCGGGAATGCGTTAGGGTTATAATGGAAAACAAAAAACTCACCGAGTCGACCAATAATAATGGGGCAGCTGCACCTAGTGCTTATAAGCAACCAGACATGCGCTAAGCTTACTTCGGAGTACGGAGTAGATCAGGTCCGATTTGTGGATAGAGGGAGGATCGTTGCTTATGTGGTCCCCATTGGTCTGGGCATGACCATTTCAAAGTACCTTCTGGTTGCCCTTGCTTCACCGTTGAGGAAAGAGAACGGGTCCTCAGGGCGTATCATACGTTGTTTCTTCTGTTTCTTCGATATTATCAGCTTTTCTAGTGTCAGCTGTTTCTCGATTCCATTATGAGTTTTGCGCTTGTTCGCATTATAAGCATCGCCATCATGACCTAGTGGCTTGAGCTTCTTTACAAAGGCCTCTTTCTCTCAAATTAGATATGCGCAAATGCCCTGAAACAAAAGCCAACCGTCTTGGATATTCCAGTGTGGGCCACCTTACCCTTGTATCTGCATCAGGCTGTTCTGAATAACTAGACGTCGCACCGTTAAGATTATCGCTTCCACTGTTGAGTTTTCATACGGAATTGGTCTATCTGTCTGGAATATCTTGCCGTACAGCATCTGGCTACACTATTGGGCAAATGAACAACTTAATGAGTATATATACTACTGGTAGTAATAGTTCTTCCCGCCGATCCATTTCAGTAGTTGGATTACTAGAAAATTAGATTCTGTATCTAAAGGTACAACAGACAGTGGGTTATGTAACATTCAAGTGGGAGAGTGTAGAAACTCACATAATAAGTGAGGAGAGAACAAGAAGAGAACTGGTTAGGCCTAGAACTGAGTCACACTCTCGATATAATCCAACTATATATGGGAACATGTAGCGGAACTGATATATTAAATTCCTTGCACAAGATACCATAGCTGACTCCATGTTGAACAGGTTAGGGGCCAGCAGGTGTAAGCAACTAGATGGTTCAATTGATGAAATGGTGTGTGGTCCCGTATAGTGTGCTACCACATGCAAGGAACATAAAAAGTTGTACTTCATCAACCACCCAATGATTATAGAGCGTTTAAAGCACCATAGCATAGGAGTTTGTATAGGATAGGAGGAAAGAAAAAAAATGTCGTCAGCGAGAGGATTCGAACCTCTGCCCGCGAACGGAATTGATTTCTAGTCAATCGCCTTAACCACTCGGCCACACTGACTGTGCTTATAATTCTGGATAGTTATTTTGATATGTTTTGGACGTTGTGTATGTAGCATTAGCAGATATTGGGATGTAGATTAAGCATGAAAACATAACTGCATTCCTTGGGGTGCAAATAAAGCTTGCTCCAGAGTACATTATACTCCTTGTGCTTTCTAGAGCTCCAGAGATCTACTGGTGATATCTCCTGGTTCGATTCCCGCGAGACATGCCTGCATGTTGCTTGGTTATCACAATGTGCAGCGTCAATACAACATAATTAGGGCAAGGCCGGCATAGTGACCAGTCTATGGTAGTTCCGATTTCCCAGGGTAGTACTACCGACGTAACTAGTCTATAACACAGGTGAATTTCAATTTCTGACTGCTATCACGGCGTCTTTGATAATTGAGAAAATGACAGATAAATGTTTAAGTGGGTTCCGGCATGGATTTAGTGGGATAACCACCTGATTGTGAAATATGTAGAGAGCTCAAGTAGAGCTTAGAAGAGTACATCGATGTTCATCATGGAGTACTAGGCATGGATACCATTCACCAGGACTGCAATTTTCGGTATAGTATGGAACGGGTAGGTACTGTCGTTATTGCTTGCTTGACTTGACCAGTTCGACTGAAGCCTCTGTAGATTTAGTGGCCAAGGTTGTAATTCTTGCACCTGGTTCAATAATTGTTTTCATCCTCTATCTCCGCCGCCTGCCAGGGTTCTTTATAAACCATGCAATTATAGAGAAGAAGGCCAGACCCACAGCCATGGGGCTCTGCCAACTAATTTGTACGATTTTCTAGAAGCTACGGGCTATATAGACAATAACATTGCCATGAAGAAAAAAGAAATATAATGTATTGTGAAAGATTGAACAAAATACCACCCAGATGTAATCTGGTTCAATAATACCGTGCCAAAGTATACAGTATCTCATGGCTTCCAGAATAGACATTACTTTGCATTCAGCATAATATGTAATCTGCCAGTTCTTATGCCGGGTGTATTTCCATCAGAGCTGTGTCAGTGTATATCCCTCTACAGGTGGCATTCATGACATCAGTATGGACGGGCGAACAGACTAAATTTAATACCCCGAAGAAGACGGAAGGACAGGGTAAAAGGAAAAGTAATTGGCCACATTCCAAATCACTGTACGCACGTACGTGAACCAGCATACGAAACCTAGCACCCTGTCTCGTTTATCAATGAGTATAATGAAATTCGGGATCAATGAGGTCTGGCCGAGGAAACAAAATATGGAGTGCATGGGATGTTCAGGACTACTCTGGTAAATTAGTCCTTATGCAATAGAAATTCTATTAGGGCAAGAAGGGCATCTCTTATAGACTTCCTGAGCTATAGCTAGACACTGGGTAAAGATGTATAACTATGTACACTTACTAGATATTACTTTTACAACATATAACAAAATACTATCCAGAATTATAAGCACAGTCAGTGTGGCCGAGTGGTTAAGGCGATTGACTAGAAATCAATTCCGTTCGCGGGCAGAGGTTCGAATCCTCTCGCTGACGATATCTTTTTGTTTTTTGGCATTGTCGCATCGTCCCTGAGTTTGTGGAGACGGGTTCTTTTATTCTTCAGCTCTTGAAGCCAATTGTGAGAGCCAATTGTTGTGTTCTAGTCATAAACCTGAGGTCTGAAATCTCGGCGTTTTCAATGCCGGACCGCTTGTCTAGCTACCAGCGAGAACCAAAAAAAAAAAATAAAAATAAATGAAGAGTACAATATTGCTCTTATAGCATTGCTACTTGGTGTGGATGTCTGGACTTACTATACCGCGATGACCATATCAACTGATATGCTACCTGTATAACCGGCAGAGAACAATTCCCGTGAATATGGGAGCCGGACCAAGATCAATTACTATCGCATTTATAACACAGGGCAAACTCAAGGCCACGTACATCAGTAAACTTCCAGGGCTTAGTCAAATTGGCAGCATGTAACCATGTAGGGTGACAGAACCGATTGGTCTATATGAACGAGGAATACTATGCCTTCTAATGGTAAAGATAAGGGAAAATTTCATGATATGTAAGATGTGTCAGAATGGGTTGTAATATTGTAGTGTAACATGTTCAGAATTCGACACCTATGTTCGCCGAGTTCCAAGTGACTGGATAGTAAGGTACATGCAGCATACTGTGGGACTACATTGAAGTGTTCGCTTCAAAAGTAGATGTTTGATGGTTGATCAATCATACAGTATCAACCTGCCTTCATTGGATGGACCCGACAGGGCAGAAGAAAGCCAGAATGCCACACCGACACAAGCTGATGAAGACATCAAATCAGTAGCCTTATATTCAAATTCTAAAAAACCCACTCTTGACCACATTCCTATACTAGCCGGGTTGAGCGTTCAAAACATAAACAATTCATACCGCGTGTCTGGTACCCATATATTCATATCTTTACTAAATTTGGCTTCAAAGTTATCGACAGCTGCATGTAGCTCACCGAGAACAGCTTCTACTAACTATCTTTGCGCCATTGTTGACTGTGGCGTATTCATTCCGTGGGAATTGAAGGAAAGAATATCTACAGACACGGATAATAACCCGTCTCGGAACCCAACGATCTTCCTTATATGGCCTTAGTTCAACATTTGATTCAAACTTTGGCCTAGTATCAATCACGAACTGAATAGGATGATGTTCAGAGCCTTAACAGCTCGGCATTGAGCAAGAGGATGATGAACACGAAACCCGGTCAGGACTAGTCCGCTCAACACCGATGACCAATATACAGTATAAGCTATGGGCGACAAGACAGCAATGATAGAGTCTATTGATAGGACTACGAATACTAACCGATAGCATGCATAATGTTCAGTACGGGTTGACCAAGTCATCCTTTTAGGGCTGTATCCTTCATCGAGCGCAAGTTAACTTTGGCTCTTGTAAGCAAATGTTTAGCCCTAACTCATACAACGGCAAGGTGGCCGAGCGGTCTAAGGCGCACGGTTCAGGTTTACCTGACCCATCAGAAGTTATATAACTTTCCGTGTCATGAAAATGGCGTGGGTTCGAATCCCACCCTTGTCAGCTTTCCTTTTTGCATCCTGTGTTGCCCTCTTTTTACTTTTATGTGTGTTGATATCAAAGTATATATGATTGCCTATTGGCCAAAGTTAAAAATATGCTCCGGGCAAGGTGGCCGAGTGGTCTAAGGCGCACGGTTCAGGTTTACCTGATCCTTCAGAAGTTATACAACTCTCCGTGTCATGTAAATGGCGTGGGTTCGAATCCCACCCTTGTCAAATCTCTTTTGTTTTTGCTCCTCGGTCCTGTTCCTGGTTGTCTGTGCTCTTTATTTTGTCACAGCAATGCATGGGGATGGGTCCCGAAGCAGTCGGCCGTGCCAGACGAGTATTTGAACGGACCAGGAGACAAGTCACTCAACTAACAACAACGCTCTGTCGTGAAGTTATTCATTTTAGCCACTTACTTCTAATCTATTCATGCCCCGTTTGTCAAGTATAGTCAACATATAACACCTCTTTCGTTTTGTATGTGGATGGTAAGGACTGGCAAAGGCATTCTACGTACAAGCAGCACTGGTAATATCTCCTCACCAAAAGGTCAATTCTCCATCAATGTCTGTTGAGATTGTCTTAGGAATGCAAGTCTCACCTTACCATCCTTCGATATTACTCCACAAAGCAATTTACATTTATTTCAATGCTATCTCTCAAACTTCAACAGTGCACATGGGACACTTGACTAAAGATGTGGTAGGCTCACATCATTTGCTATGTTTTGCATCTCATACCCAGAGGCCGTATTATCCCCTAGAGCAACTGTGCTTGTCTGACTTTGCAAATACCAAAGTAAGCCCGGTAGCTAACCTGTTGTTGAACCAGCAGGCAGGTCAGTTCTTGCAGTCAATGCATTAGCCTAGTGGAAGCATTTTGTAGTATTTCGGCTGGGGTTGGCCATTCCAGAGAAAACTCCTGGATCCAGGAGCTATACGTCGATACAAGCACCGGCTGGCCTCCATCCCCAAGAGGCCATTACCATCTTGATTCGAAATCTGTTAAAAGGTGCTTACCCCGACTGCCGGGACTTACTATGCTTAATACTTGGTGACAAAGAAGTCGTAATTATATGGAGATAATTTCGTACATGATGCAACATCTCAACCGCTAATTAGAGCCTTAGGCGTAATTAGGCTGCCTAGGTTGCACCAATGACAGTAACCCTAAGTACTACCTAGCATGTATGTAGGGCCAGGTTCCAATCAAAATGCGTCAACTGCCGATTAATAGATCACACCCAGCTTTAGTGAATTTCTTTCTGACCATATGATAAATCGATAATTGAGCTATACCTCTCCTGAATAACATCCTTGAATGATAAATGTGGACAGCATTGAAGCCTGGAGGCTCTATGAGCCGGAGCTTATTCTTCATACAATTTGAGAATAATTTACCGCTGCTGCAATTTCAGCCTGATTGACAAATTAGAGATTGGACACGGGAAAGGGAATCCGATATAGCGACGTGAAAGCCTTCCAATGCTTCAACATTCCATATTGCTTTCTGGTGGCTGGAGGGACTCGACGCAACTTATACAAGCTGCCCTTTCACCCACAATGAGTACAGAGATATTTGACAAATAGCTAATGCCCTGGAGATGTCGGTGGTTCAACATTGCACGGATTTGAGTCTACTTGAAAAGCCAATTCATTCAGGCCAACCAATGTTCGCTTGAACAATTAGATCCCCAAATTGAGCTCTGAAAGTGAGGTCCCGTACACTGAAGCGGAAGCAGCTAGACATACACTGCAATTGCTTCAGAAATACTCAAGGTTGACAAGGAATGACGAAAAGCCTGCTCTATCATGGCTTTGAACTTGATGTCAAAAGAATTGTAATCTTTTCACTCTCAGGCAAGGTGGCCGAGCGGTCTAAGGCGCACGGTTCAGGTTTACCTGACCATCAAAGACTTTCACAAGTTTCCGTGTCATGAAAATGGCGTGGGTTCGAATCCCACCCTTGTCAGTTCTCTTTTTGCCATTATTTTTCATGAATACTCCAAAACTATGTGATAAATGCCAAGTCAACATCCGATCTTATCGTCTCCCATCCGAAAGGAAGTACCTGACCCGCCACATCTGTCGGATATCAGACTCCCTTTGCGGGGTTGTCTGTTTTACACAATCTTTCTTTGGCTTTCTCATGCTATTCGCTTCCCATACACAAGAGATCCACACTAGACTGTGTGCAGTTGCCGATCAGCCACATTTTTGCTCAGCTTTCGGACACATACTCGGAAATGGTTCGGAGAACCCCATACATACATAACTTTTGGAGACATCCTCCACCGTCTTCCGAAGGAAAATGAGAAATTTATTGCATAAATCAAGAGATTGCTAGTAGTATTCTCCACATCCTCTTCTACTGTGGGCCAGGGGTCGAATCCAGATTAGATATCTTATCTTCTATACTGCATAGTCAAAGACTTTCTTCTCACATCATTGAACTATTGTCACCTACAAAATAGAAACATGGGAGCTGAATATTCCCCCGTTCAGGAGGCAGGTCGCATTTTCTCTTTTCTTTGCGATCAAGCCGAGCGCCTCAGCTTTCCTTCTGAGGTGGTGAGCAATAAAGATGCCGTGTCTTTCAACTCCTCCCATGACCAAGTTTACTATCCCATTCCTTTCAAAGAGACCGAGACATTGGCTGCGTTGAAGGGTGTCGAAGGGTCCGTAGCAGCTGCAATTGCAAACTTACGCTACGGAGCCCAGAAGCGCAGCGTGAAGGTGAACCTGGAGAGGGCTACGGCGTTCGGCTGCCAGGCATACATGGCGAAAGTAGATGGACTGTCTAAGCTAGACCCGGAAGTCAAGAAGAAGTTGAAAGGTGCGTAACTCGCCTCTGAAATAGAGCGCAAACTGACACACGCAGATACCGATCTGCTCGCGGCGCAATCCAATGGCTATCGCCGCATGTCTGCGAACCTCTACAAGACTAAGAACGAGGGAGAGTTCTTCCATATCCACGGCTCCCTCGAGGCCACGACGACTCTGAACATGATAGGTCTGGACGGCCATCGCCCGGGCTTGACGGACTACGAAGAAATCATCAAAGTAATCGAGGGCCAAGTGCAGAAGTATTCCGCCGCGGAGTTGGAAGACATGAACAAGGAGCGGAGACAAGCCGGCGTAACGGCATTCAAGTACGAGGACTTCATCAAGACGCCCCACGTATGCACCATCCCTTCACCATTACATTCACACAGAGAATACTAACCGCATGCTAGGGTAGCCATAACGTCCAACAACCCCCGTGGAAGGTATCCCGCTTGAGCGGCGACCTGCCGCCGACACCCTTCCCTACCACCGGCAATGGAAGCAAGAAAGTCCTCCAGGGCATCAAAGTCCTGGAGCTATGTCGCATCATCGCCGGCCCCACCGTCGCACGCATCTTGACCGAATACGGCGCTGATGTGTTGAAAATCACTAGCCCAAGCCTCTCCGACGTGCCCTTCTTCCAGGTAGACGGTAACATGGGCAAGCATGCCGCTGATCTGGATCTGAAGACCGACGCAGGACGCCGCCAGTTCGAGGAGCTCCTCGCAGACGCCGATGTCCTCGTCGACGGCTACCGACCCGGGGCTCTCGAGAAACTGGGCTATGGGCCCAACGCACTCGCCTCGCTGGCAGAGAAGCGCGGAAAGGGCATCGTGTACGTCAACGAAAACTGCTTCGGCTACGAAGGAGAGTGGGCCAGTCGACCCGGCTGGCAGCAGATTGCCGACTGCGTAAGTTGCCTCTAATCCACCTATTTGACCATCCGAGCTACGCTAAGATATCCCCTACAGGTAACCGGTATCGCATGGGCACAGGGCCAGTTCATGGGCCATTCAACGCCCGTAGTACCCCCGTTCCCCATCTCCGACTACGGCACCGGGTGCATGGGCGCCATCGCCGCATTGACAGGTCTCTACCTCCGGGCCAGAGACGGCGGCTCGTACCACGGAAAAGCGTCCCTGATGCACTACGACCTCCTGCTCTTCGCCGTGGGCAAGTACTCCGAAGACGTACAGGAGAAGATGCGAGCCGCGCAGCCCCCCGAGTTCTTCCAACTGAGACACTGCGACAGCGTGGACCGTATCTCGTCCACAGTCCTCAAGATCATGCAGACTCGCTTCCCTCACCTGTACACACAGTCCGCGGACCAAGAGCCACTCACGGAGAAGTGGTATTCCAAAGCCTACAACGCCGATATCGAGGTCGTCCGACCAATCTGCGAGATTGAGGGTGTCGAGAACAAGTTCGACAGGGCGTCTCGACCCAACGGAACAGACCGTGCAAGCTGGGAGGATTTCCAAATCCCAGAAGAAGATTATAAGTCTTAACGTAGCAATAGATACCTATAACACATACAAATCAACCACTACTACTTCATAACCCACAAACCTGCACCCTTCACAAAATAGGAATAAATAATAGAAGAAAAAGAATTCGGAACCCCATCGGAAAGCGTCCAACCATCGGCCCGAAACTGACATCACCATCCATCCATCCATCCATCCATACAATCAATCATAAATAAACCACTACCTAACACCCCCCAAAGCATCTCAATACCAAACCAAATCAATACAAAAACCACCAAATTAATAAAGATAGAAGAATCAAGAAAGAAGAAAAAGAAAGAAAATGTCCTACAAACCAAGCACCTCCGAACCCGTACCACAAAACAGCGAACCCCTCCTCACCTTCCTCGAAACCTTCTACCAAATAAGCGACACCGAGTCCCAACACGCCCAATACGTGGACCACTTCACCGACGATGCAACCCTAATCATGGGGTCGAAGGTTGCGCGTGGATCGAGTGGTATTCCCCTTTCTTCCCTCTCCTTTCAAATCCCTTACATCTTCCTATTGCATCTATTCAAATACCCATACCCAAATACCCTTGATACCGAAAGAAGTCCAGGACATAAAACCAAGTCATAGAATCACACTAGCTTATCACTGAACACAACACCATTGCTACATTGCTAATACATTATAACCAAAAGAAATTCTAAACCTCCGACACGGCCTCTGGACGCACGTCGCGAGAAGGAGGCACTTCCCGACAAAGGTTTACTTCGGGGGAGAGAGGGAACTCATGCTGTATGGGACTGTGAGGTATGTGTTGAAGGCGGATCCGGGGAGTGAGGTCGAAGTACCCTGGGCTGGGAGGGTGGTGTTTGATGAGACGGAGACGAAGATGAAGTTTTATCAGGTTTATTTGGTATGTTC